CAAAGATCAATGTTAGGGGTTACAATGGAAACCTATCACAGAAATTGACAAAATTGTGTGTTCAAACCGAAAGGTTTTCAGTTTTGTCTGAATTACCAGCAAACAATAAAAATATAATAAATTTGGAATGAATGAAGAATTATAAGAAAAACCCAATAAAATATGGACATTGGGAAAAATCCAAAAGATTTGAACAGTTACTACCCAAATAATCTTCCGTATGTACACTTTTTTTGTATCCAATAAGCAGTATCCAATAGGACTTGGACTTGATGTACCCAATATATAACCAAATGTGTGTCCGTCCGTCCGTCCGTCCGTCCGTCCGTCTTTCTGTCTGTCTGTAACGCTTTCGTTTCCACACGATATCTCGAGAACCCTTTGAGCTTTTGCAATAAATTTAGAATAGCAACTCCCTATGGTCTAAAGAAGACCCCGATTGATTTTGAGGTCAAAAGGTCAAAGGTCAAGGTCATAAATAAGCAAATTCTGTCTGTTAAAACACTTTCGTTTCCACACGATATCTCTAGAACCATTTGAGCTATTGCAATGAAATTTTACATAACAACTCCCTGTGGCCTAATGAAGACCCCTATTGATTTTGAGGTCAAAAGGTCAAAGTTCAAGGTCGTAAATTTATACATTCTGTCTGTGTGTAACACTATCATTTCCGGGCCATATTTTTAAGAAGATTTTGAGCTTATGCAATGTAATTTTATACAAAAACTCCCGGGACTCTCCCCCCTCTCAAGGTGCCCCGCCCCGTTTGTTTTATGATTTTATAGTATTACATGTCGCTATTTTTAGCGCAGGGGCATAAGGAGAGTTACTGCGTATAAAACAGGTTCTCGGGGACTTTATGTTCTTATTACATCTATTAGAACTGTTTAATAAAGGCTAAATAAATCAAACACCATGGATTATGTAAAAATTTGAGAATATCGAACATGAAAACATGAATATATACATGTATGTGACTTCAGTTCTGCATATACTTTCACCGCGTAAAGCATTCCGTGGTCTAGTGGTTATGTCTCTCGCTTCAAATGTGAGAGGCCCGGGGATGCCCCTTCCCTTTTTTTTTTAAATACTTTTTTTTTAACTAAATGATAGTATTCAGCATGTGAAATGAAAAAATTATGAGGTTATAAAATCATCGTTACAGTGTGATAAATATTCCATATAAAAAAATCTTCTATACACAAAATAAAGATAATAAAGAATAAGCAATCAAATCTTTATATGAATATTGACATACATGTATTTTATTTGCTTCAGTATACATGTATACATTTAATAATTCTACAAATTCAGTGGGGGGAGCCGACTTTTTCCCTAAGGGGGGGACAGAATTCTCTAATTAGCTTGTTCCGACAAAGAGTTACACCAAAAGTAACCGAAACAAGATTGATCCCTGTGTTTATATATATCTCCTATGCCTAATTGCTACTCATTGGTTAATAAATTCTAATGATTTGATTGGCTAAAATATCAACTTTGATTGACTACACATAATATGATTTGATTGGGTGATTTAAAAAACTATTTCAATCCACTTAACTAATTCTAGTCATTACACAAGCCAGTAAATAATGCTAATTAATAATGCAATTTTATTAGATTACAAAATATTACTTGTACATGTATATCAAAAGAAGGGAAACCAAAAGTTTTTTTTTTTTAATGCGCCCCATTATTTTTTTTTAAAATGTTATTTTTAAATTTGCATCTGGGTGTAAAGCCTAACGAATAAACTTTAAAAAAAATAAATACATACAGATCTATCCATTTAAAAAAGCAAGATATATTGCAGAAAGTATTTGAATGATTTATGACATAATGATTAACAACATGTATAAACAGCGCAATCGAATGCCAGGACTGCACTTGGTAAATAATTTATTCATGATTATTTAATACATTTTCACACCCACTCCAAATTTTAAAGTTTGAAAGCTCATTATACACAATGTCATTGGACTAATTTCAAATATGTTTAAAATTGGTAATAATAATAATATGTATAGAACAGAACAGAAATTTCATTTCTAATTTAAAGCCCAAACATGTTTTATTCTTTTGTAAAGTATAAGTCAATGAAATTGATAAACTTCATGCATTAATTTCAAAGCACATATGATTTGATATAGAAAATTGATGATTGAATGTCAACACAAAAAATAAAATAAAATAATTTTTTAAATAGTTTTATAATTTATCATAATATCGAGATACGTATCATATCGTGCTAATATATCGAGATACGTATCGTATCGCAAGATCTGTGTATCGTCCGACCCCTATGTCAGATTGAGACCAAGATAAGTAAACAGACGAAGAGCTTCAATTTCCTAAAATCAATAAATTTGTGGAAATCGATAAAACACTCGGATCACCTGTTGTACATGTATCAAGGAGCTGCGATGTGTATATATTTTGTATAATCTATGTTGGTTGCATGGATTTTGGGGACAACTGATTAATTACACATCTTTTATTGGGATAAGCCTTATCAGCGACGTCCCTCTTCTTGTGTCAAAGATTTAAGATCGTTGTTGACAATTAAGAAACAGTTTTATAATATTAAGGCTCTTCCAGAAAAGATGTAAATGATATTAAATCTCTTTTATTGTTCAATTTATAGATAATTTTGATGGAAAAAAAATTATATAATGTTTTGGGATTGACAAAAAATAATATATCTATATTTGAGTTTAAAAAAAAGCCACATAACGTTTTGTTTTCTTGTTTATATTAAGAGCATTTTGACTGGAATCCTCAATTTTTTTTTTTTCAAATGACTACTGTTATTCATTTAATATATAGCTAGTTAAATTGAAATTTTTCACAGATTTAGAGATTTACCAAAAAAAAGACAAAGTTATACGACTTTTTAATTAAATTTTGATTCGACTATCGGATCATTAATTTTAATCACCTTAAGAATTTTTGTTTTCCAAATCTACTTGGAAAATAAAAAAAAAAAGTGATGAATATTATAATTTTTCCATAAATCTTACTTTTCTAGATTAAAAAGGTCGCAGCATACATAATTCATGAAGATAATTGACATTTCTGATAACCTGCTTGATAAAATTTGTAAGTGAAAATTCAATGTGACGAAAATATTTATTGATCAAACTTATTTTTCTGTATATGTACAGGTACTCGGCATTAAATATTAATCGAAAAGGAGTCGAAGATTTCGTATTCTTATGGCCTCCAAGTACTTCCAGTACATTGATTTTTTTTTTGCGTGACCTTTTGTGCATACCAGTGCGATTTCTTTAAAGTGCATTTTTAACATTAATATATATTAATATATATATTTAAAAATTTCTGGTGTACATAAATTTGTTTCCAGCAAAAATACTGATATTTTTTTCCCTAATTACACATGTAATATGGTGCTTAGAAATAATTTTTTTCCCCTTTTAAATTTTTATTTCTTTTGAAGATATGGAAACTAGATTTACGGTGCATCTGGTCTTGAATCTTCTAATTGGAACGAAGGTAAATATTCATGTTATATATTTCACAGTTCTGTTTACGCATATCATCCATGTTTCATTCTTTATTATTTACGTTGGAAAGTTAGGAATCTCCAAAACAATAAAAATATCCCGAACCTCGACGTGTAACATTGTGTAATTATACAATTATTTATTAAAAAAATAAATGTATTATACAACAACACAAGGGAGAACGCCATTTTGGAGATTCCTCGCTTCAACCAAGATTTTGTTATATTCCCTCTGTATTTCAACAACTCACCAACTCGGGTTTGTCTATTAATAATTCTAACAAGACATCAATTTTTAATTCCCCTTGGAGCCTTATGCTAGAACATGTTTATGTGTTTATTGTTAGGAACAGGAAGCCAAAATACATTCAGAAAACTTGGAGTTTAACGGCAAATTATAAATTTTAAGAAAAAAAGCATTCAAATTCCGTATTGGAATGTTAATCACAGAAGTTATGTTCGCCTAACAAGTGTTAATTTGGAGTATATTTTTATATTGAAGAGGATCTGGGGGGAATTAAATATATACTTTGCATTTAAATGCATCACGCCCTAACATGTGTTACTTACTTTGTTTTCAAAAACAATGCAGTTCAAGTATAACTAATCAATACTGAGAAATTAACGCCATGTATGTAATGAATAGCCAAAATTTCTTGTATTTCACAACTTCAAATTTATAATTATTAATTTATGATCATATTTATGAATTCCGGGTTTCCATTCGCAAAGAAACTAGCGCATCAAAATTTGCGTTTTGAGAAAACGTATTTTCTGTTTTAAAGCAATATTTCTACATAATGAAAAAATGTAACAAAACCTAGGAATAACAGGTTCAAAAAATCTAATAAGAAGTTTCATGTTACTAAATTTAAAAAAAAAAAGTTTAAAAATAAAAATGGCCTATATATAATTCCAAGTAAGGCCATTCCACTTTTTCTATGTTTAGCGTGTACGTGCGCCTTGGGTTTTGACACCCCATATAAGAAAAAAACAACATTAGGAGTCCTGAAATTGATTAACTTAAGTCGAGTTTTTTCAATTTTGTCAATTTCTCCAAATAATTCTGTACAGTAAGTTATTCATGGTGTATTTTAAGCATTTAATCCCTTGTATTTGCTTAGGAATAGATATTTCTTCTATTAAAGCAGTTAAGTTAGATCAAATAATTTGAATGGCGTCATTTTTATGACTTTTAAGCCTGTGTTTTATGTTTTGGCTTGTGTGTTTTTTGCGAATAGGTAGGTGGGTTTTTAAAAGATGGGTGGACGCTAAACAGAGTAAAAACTTGGAATGGCCTAAATGCGTTTTAAACGGTCCCTAAAATACCTAAACAATCCAGCTTTCACCGAAATTTAGAACATGTAGAATGTACACTAAGTCCTAATACGTTACATGTGGTATAAATTTTTATGTTTCTCTATTGTAGTTTTCACACACAAAAAAACCTAGTGGCCCCCTTTAACAAGAGGTTAAGAGTGCCAGGTCAATTTCTAACGTTAATAGTTTGAAATGTAAATATGGATTATATTAACATTTAGATTCAAATTAGAGTTTTACTCTTCTTTACAGCTGTATGTAGTTGCATCCAATATCTAAGAAATAAACAACGTTATTTAGTGAACATAGCATTATGAATAGCATAGCGCGCATCATGGAAACTATGCCAGCAGAGCAATTGCTATTCATAATGCCATGTTCACTGAATAACCCTTTTTATTACTTATATTTGCACTCTTAAATGGTTCTAAAGAATATCAAAAAATCCCTATACATAAGGATGTGGCTTAATGTCTTCAGTAAAAAAACACACGGCTTTAAGATTAGTATACCTGATCATTGCACTTTTTCTATAATAAATCACATACATTTAGCCTTTTTTTAAAAAACAGTTATCAGTTACAAGCTGCGCCGTCGTCATATTCTCTTAATTTTTGTTTTGATGCAGATGTGACTCATCGATAACGTTTTTGAAACCCTCTGACAAAAATCAATACTGTCTGTAATTTAACCTTATGATAAAAAAAAGAAAGCTTTAATAATCATTATAACTCCGGAATGCTTTTCTTTATGATTTTTTTTAAAAATATCTTTTTTTTTAAAAATTGAAATCGTTCTTGAATTTTGCTTTTTATGAATGTTTTATCACCCAAGTGTAAAGAGTTATCGTTCTTTGTACAAACATGCAAAACTGATAAGAAAAAATAAATAATGGCAGTTCTCTTCAAATTTTAAAAGTTTTATTATACGATTGAATACATCGACCAAAATTAAATTTTTAAACATATAAATCAGCAATTTTAAATTGTTCTGAATTTTTTTTCCCAAATAGATATTATTAAAAACTTATATTTATTCCTTTTACTAAACATTTCATATATATACTTCTCAACACACCTATAAAAGTGTAGTAGAGCTTACACTATATAGCGTTAAAGAGCAGAAGCAATTGCGTCTATAGCGCTATAATGCAGTTGATCCCAATGTTCATAGTGGGAGGAAGTGGATATGTAAATATATGTTGATATATTGTAACGAAATGGTTCGTCATATTCACTTGGCAGCATTCTCCGGTAGTGCATGTATAGAATTCAGAATTCAAATCATGACCCTTAAGGTTTGGACCAAACAGGGAGTCTAATTGATCTCACGTACTATGTACATGTAAATACACACGAAAAAGCATGTTTAGACTTACTTGAATTTTAAGAGGAAGAACAAAATGACAAAAAATTAGCAAAATCACATAGGCTGATTTTTATCATTTAGCTTTTCGTAATTAAATTCACCTGGCATGGTATATTTTTTAAAGTTTATATTACACTTTTAGCACCAAGATAACATATTCAGAAATTTGTTTTCACCTGTAAACCTTTACTGAATGTGATTTGTCTATATTTGTTTTTTATTAAATATTACAAATATTTTCAAGTCTTTCATATTTCAATTCTTAGGGAAAAAAATTATAAGAACCATGCACTTTTCTGAACTTGTGACATGATATAAAATGTTTTCCAAAGAAAAAATTGTTTTTATCATCTATCCTTAATTTTTAAAAGAGATTTTAGAGTGTGTTTTGATGAAAATCAGACATGTTATATGTTCAAAATCGGTAATTTGTTTATCACTTGCTCTGTGGGATTTAACCAGCAACAAATTAATGCATTTGTAAAATTGCATGATGCTTATTACGCTAAATTTGTTTTTTTTATTTATGAATAATTAAGTAGCAACTTCACTTAAACACTACATGTATAACCTTGGTTGGAAAAGTTTACGCTTTATAAACCGCGAAGCGGGTTTTTAAAATTGCTCCCAAACCCCGGTTATAGCAGTATAACTTTGATTGCTATTTAATTCATTCTTAACAATTCAATTTCCTATCGTCAAGTATTAAACAAAACGACTCTCCCCTTTAAAAAATCTTCAAATTATTCATATTTTGAATGTAAAAAAACGGATTGATACGTTTTTGATGATAAGTCATTGTGACGTAAGCAAACCAGATTTTACAAATTTTTGGGTTTAAATTTTTTCATGCAACCCTATGACTTGTTACAACCGAAATTATTTTTTTGTAACCTGATTGCAAATTGTTTAATTTTTAGTATTCTAATTGTAAAAGGAATAGCGATGATTTGGATGTCGCAGCAAACATTTCCCAAAATTTTAACCCGTCTTATTGATGCAGGCTTGACAACTTCATCACTTTTAGCGGGGCAAAAATATGCTTTATTAATGGAATGAATTAAATAGCAACCCAAGTTATTCTTTATAATCTAGGTTGGAGTAGTTTTAGCTTTATAAACCACAAAACATTTCTTACACTTTAATTTTCAACCAAAATGTATGGAAACAAAGACAAATTCAAACTGTTCATAATAAGCGTAACTTCAAGCGAATTGATATGATTATGACGTAGGCAAGCTAGGTTATATAATTTAGATTAATTTTTATCCAATCAAACGACGCATTACAACCAAAATTAATTTATACGAATATGATATGTAATGTACTATGTAGTACATGTACCTTTTATTCATTTTGAAACACTTGAAGGGCAATTCATTGGATTGCTCGAAATAATTTTATTGGAAAGAAGCCCATTACGTCACATTTTCAAGTCTTTTGTATTTTATTTGAACCGGAGACATTACATCTCATAGGTATACAGTATTCAAACATAAGATTTGTACAGTCTATACAATATACATGTATTAATTGCATAACAATTTCATTTAATTATTATTTAGAACATCATTTCTTAATTGATGAGAAAAAAAATAAAAATTTGCCCAGGTTACATAGTTCTTTAGTATTTTTAGAAATCAATAGCTGTACTAATTTAAATACTGATGGTTTTTTAAAATAATAACACTTAATATATTTATTTCTAAGTTCTTTATATCGAGGAAATTTTAATACAAAATGAAATTGTCCTATCTCACCTGACATACATATTTCACATTTTCTATCTTTTCTCTCTATATTACTATACCTTCCCCTTTCTATTCTTAAATCATGAGCTGATAACCTTAAACGCCTGATAGGTATTCTATACTTAGAATGCAATGGTTTTCTTACATAAGCCTGTAAGAACATTTTCCACTAAATGTTGAAATAGAAAAAATTTAGGAGAATTACAAATTCTTCCCTAATTTCTTTTTCTTAAACAGTCATACATTCTTTGAAATATAATGTTCAAAAAATTATCAATACAATCACTATTACATGTATACATGTCAGCTAAACCAAGCCTTTGGAATTCCTTCTTAATGTTTACAATCCATTCATCATAATTTTTAACCATATTTTGATAACATGCTTGTAATATACAATTATCACTGTATTTTAATTGCACCCAGTATTTCAAAATTTTCTTTTTCCTTTCAAGTATAAGTGGAAATCTACCTGATTCACAATAAACTGCATCATTACTAGTGCTTTGTCTGACCTTTAAGACTCTTTTACAATAATTTAAGTGAACATT